GCTGTCAGCTCCAGAAAGAAGCTGGTGGGTGTTGCAGGACCAGGGAAGTAGAGGGAGGTGAGGGCAGGGCCAGGTCCAGAAGCAGTGCTCCTGGGGCCCAAGGAAGGCACTAAGTTGGTCTGGGTAGAAGAGATCAGGAAGCAGTATTGGTTACCCAGGTGTCTGGGGACCCATGACTAGGAATGGCGCAGTGCCCAAACTAGGAGTGGAGAAGTGCAGGGGAGATGGTAGGGTGAATGTGGCTGGGTGATTCAAGGCGCGGAGGGCTGTGCTATAGACTGACCCCAAGAGGCCTGAGGATAGGAGTGCAGGCTAAGAGAGTTAGTCGGTGGTGCAGGTCCAGGGTAGCAGAGAGAGGTGAGGGCGGCGCCTGGTCTAGAAGCGGTGCTCCTGGGGCCCAAGAAAGGCACTAAGTTGATCTGGGTGAAAAGGATAAGGAAACAGTATTGGTTCCCCAGATGTCTGGGGCCCCAAGACTAGGAATGGCGCAGGGCCCAAACTAGGGATAGAGAACAGCGGGGGAGATGGAAGGGTGAATGTAGCTCTTTAATCAAGGCATGGAGGGCTGTGCTATAGACTTACCCCAAGAGGCCTGAGGATAGGAGTCCATAGTACACATTTTTTAAGAATAATTTATTGACAATTTCATAGCAACATACTCCATTCCAAAGGCCAAAAATGTCAAAAATATTTGGGAGCTTTAATCTAATCCTTAAAAGGTTTTAGGATTACCTCTTCAGAGGGGGGGATGTTAGAATTGTACACATTTTAAATTAGACATGGAACATTTCCAAATTTGACACAGTTCAGAAAACAATTTTCAGGAAGTTTAGTTGATAAGTATTAAAGTATTCTGGTTATATCTTTAATGACAATAAAAGTTATGCTAAAAATAAGTTCAAAAAATTATGTTAGAAATCAATAATGAAAAAGAATCCATAGGGTTGTTTTTGTTTTTTTTTCCCCCAAACTAGGCAGCATAGTCTACAATATTGCTGTTAGGCCAAAGACGTCACAAAGTTAAAAAATGTTTTCAAATAATTTATAATTAAAACAAAAATGTAAAAGTTTTGAGAATTAATCCCTGTTGCTGAAAATTTTAATGAACTCTAAATCATTAATCTCTAAAATAAAAAAGTAGCAAGCCAAGCCCCAAATTTTAAGACCTGTGAATATTGAAGAGGAGGAGAAGGAGCAATCATTAGAAGTGGCAGAATTAGAAACTCCTCCACACATTCTTCAGATACCGAAACAAAATTAAACTATACGTGGATAGGTAGTTATTGCCATGATAGTGCAGGACTGCAACAACAACATTGACTGATGAAAGCCCTGAGAAGTGATCTTAATGGTGGAGGTATTGTTTTTACCTTGAAAAAATTTTGTCAAAATGCTAAAAAACTATATTTTTATTGCCTACATCTAAATTTTACAAAGGAGTAAAGAACCTTCATTATCATTGTTTATAGTATTAAAATCATCAGGTACTAAATAAGCTTCAATTTTATTGTTTTCATTTTTGTTTTAATGTAAAATTAAAATTGACAGATTGTGATACAGATAACTGTTGAAATGATGAAATGTCATCATTAAAATAGAGGGTTTTTTATGAGTATACAGTAATATAAAGACTAGATTATAATATATGTGCAATATAGTATGTGCATATCCATCTGTATTTTTGTTTTCCTTTGTTTTCAGACAGTATTACTATGTATCACCATGCCCAGCCTCTGTTTTAATGAATAGTTCTATCAGAAAATACATCACAGCAAATAGTTTATCTTTAAAACTTAGCATGTCTTTTCTAATATCTAATTTCTCTTTGGGTAACTTTATGTCAAATAACATATCCAAAATGTAAATATTTTAAGATTGCTTGTAATTATATTTTTAATTGCTTTCTAAGTTGCATTATTATAGAACTTTTTTTCTTTTTGGATTTATTTTATAGTTAATTAAAACCATCAGTGTTTTAAGTTGCAGCTTCTGGGGTTATTTTTTTTGTTCTTGTATTTGTTAAAAAGTTTGAAATATCTGTAATTTGCTATAATGGTAATAATAAAGGTTCTTACAATTTCAGTCAAACCTAATGTACTTAGTGTACTGAGAAAGGAATTTGTAATTTGTCTTGCTTTCATACCCAGGAGACATTTATTCCTCTCTATTGCTTAAAACTAGTAAGAATTCAATTGAATTTTATGAAATACACTAGAAAATCATGAATCTATGTGATATTTAATGAATAGGTAAAACTGCTAACATTTCATTTTTTTGAATTGTTTTTATTACTTAGATGTACCATCTAAATTTTATCTTTCTGAAAACTTTACATCTCTCTAAGACAAACTGAACGCTGACTGAATTAATTGTTATTAGTTTAATGTATTTGGAAATGTTCTTCTTTTTATTCCCATTTAATGGTAATTCCTTAAATTTTTATTAGAAGTCAATTTTAAAATAATTTTTGTGTAGTGTAAAGAATTATGTGACCCATGTTGATTTAATTGATTCCCCCCTCAAATAGTAAGTATTGTTACTAAAATTAGTGTATCATAAACTGCTTATCCCAAGGTTGCACAGTAAATTAAAAGATACTATTGAAAAGCAGTTGGAGGCCCTTCCCTTTGGCATTGGGATAGGAAATGGCATCTGTGCAGATGATGAAATAGTCAGGAACCTTCAAGAACAACTCCAACTAGTCAACCAAGTAAGTGACGTTTTTAAAATTTATATGCTAAATTTACAGTCTTCAAAAAGAAGTGTTAATCGTTATTTTTGAGTGATAATAGAATAACAAAATTATTAGAACTCAGTTTTTCTGTGACTTAAAAGAATTATAACAAAACTTGAAATAAATGCCTTCACTGTTTGTTATAAATATAGCTACCAAATGTATTTGTTGTTGAATCATGTACCATTTTGAAATTTTTGTACATTAAAAATATTTTACTGTCGGGGGCTAGAGAGATGGCTGAGTCGTTAAGAACACTGACTGTTCTTGCAGAAGACCCGGGTTCGAATCCCAGCACCCACATGGCAGCTAACTACTCTCCGTAACTCCAGTTCCAGGGAATCCAACAGCCTCTTCTGTCCTCCACGGCCATTGCACGACATGGGTGCACTTACCTACATGCAGGCATAACACTCATACACCTAAAATAACAATAATAAATAAAATATATTTTTAAACAAACATTTAAAACTATTTTACTGTCAAAGGAAACTTTTAAAGAAAAAGGTAATCAACAATCTGTTTCCATAAATTTACTTTTTTGTGTGTTTTCTTGTGATACAGTTTTCATCAATTTTCAGATCATAGTATATTTTCTTAAATTATACTTTCTGTTATTTTCTTCATTCCTAGTGCTTGAAATTTTTAGTCATATTACATATTATTTTTCAGTGTTGTAATTTTTGTGAATTTGTACATTAAGGCAATTTTATTTCACTTCATAACTTTGTATCCTGTGTCTCAGACCGCCTATGAATTTGGATCACTATTCTTTTATTTTCTAGCTCTGTGAGTATAGAAAAATCTTTGTGCCTCAGTTTCCTTGTTTATAAATGGGCCTAGAAATTATGAATTGTTTTGGTTTTATAATTGTAAAAAGTCAGAGCTCTATTCTTCAGAAGTTTGGTTAGGGAATATTTATGAATACTGGTTTAAGTACATTAGAAAGGCTATATATTGTGTGATCAAAAACATGTACTTAACATTGAGCTTTCTAAATATAAAAATAGAAGTAGCATAAAAAATAATTAGGAAAAGTTATGAACAAAATTTTGTTAGTGAAAGCTTTTCTCTTTTCCAAACTATGAGGAATTTATTGTTGTTTACACAAAATAAGTGGAAATTAGACTTATAAATACTTTCTTTTTAAAACTTCTTTAAAATTGTTTTTATTATCATACAATAAAATTAGATGGTATTTAAATCACATTTCCTATATGGACCTCCCCTTATTGCACCCCCCCAATTTAATGCACTAATTTAATGTACCGCTTTAATGTACTGTTTTATTTATACATGTAGTTATGTATGTGTGTATACATACACACACATATAAGGCACACACACACTCACACACATATATAATAAGGCACATAGAGTCTAATTTGAATCCCCAATTGTTCTTCACTGTGGGTCCATCACTTGGAGCCTGGATAACCTACCAAATGTCCATCCTTGAAAGAGACTGTCTAGCTCCCTTCTAGAAGCCATCGTTTGCCAAAAGATCCTTAGGTTTGATTGGGGTTTCTTTTTTGTTTGCTTGGTTTATTGAATTTTTGTGTATTTCATACAGAATATCTCAAACAGTCTTTTTTTAAATTTTTATTTATTTTTATTTTACGTGTATTCATGTATTGCCTGCATGTAGGTAAGTGCACCCCTGTCGTGCAGTGCCCGCAGAGGTCAGAAGAGGCTGTCAGAGCCCCTGGGACTGGAGTTATGGACAGTTGTAAGCTGCCATGTGGGTGCTGGGATTCGAACCCAGATCTTTTGCAAGAACAGCCAGTGTTCTTAACCACTGAGCCACCTCTCCATCCCCGTCTCAAACAATCTTAATCATCTTTATACCCCTGTCCCTATCAGCAGTCTCCCATACCCCCTCACCACCCTCACTGGAGCCCATATACTCTGCCATCTGTGTTAAGGCCCCCATGTCAAGTCAGTGTCCCTAGATATTCCCCAGTGCAAGTCCATCCACTGAGGTCTAGAGTCTCTTGTTTTAGGAAGATCAGCTCTTCTTCGCCTAGCAGCAAAAAGTTGCCAGTAGTTCTTCAGCTAAGGTTGGGGTCCACTGTTCATTTTCCTAGTTCTCTGCTGGGTTTTTGTCTGCCTGAGTTTGCATGGGACTTGTGTATGCTGACATCATTGCCATAGAATCGTATGAGCAGGTTTCCAGGAGCTTATAGGACTCTTTTTCCATATGGTCATGCACCTTTTCCTTGGCTCTTACAGTCTTTTGCCCCCTCTTCTGATATGGTCCCTGATCCTTGGGTGGGTGAAGTTTAATATAGGAGTCCTGTCTAAGCACCAGAATTCAACAGATTCTTGATGTCTACACTTTGGTCATTTGTTACCTTTGTGTTCCTGGCCATCCTTTCCAAGGACATGACTATCCAACAGCCTTAGGTGTTGGTAATTGTGATACTTAGTTGTGGTACTTGGTAATAGTCTCTGACTGGCACAAAATGAGCTTCGATGACTAGTGAATGTGATACTTGTTTTTTCTAAGATCTATGACCACTCCAGCCATGTGTATTTAGTTATGTTTAGAGTACCACACTTGAGTTTCCTCTCATTGAGTGAGCTTTTAGTTCAATTAGATAGTCCGTTGCCCCCAAGATAAAAGTGCCACTACTGCACCAATGACTATGCTGTGCTGTCCATTGACTAGGGTAAGATGAAATATTAAAGTGGTTTTGATTTGCATTTTTCTAATTAATAAGGATGTTCAGCACTTTTAAAGGTGTTTCTTAGCCATTTTTATTTCTTTATTTGAGAACTCTCTATTCAAGTCCTTAACCCATCTTTTTATTGTTTATTTTCTTGTTTCTTTGTTTTTTGAGTGTTTTGTTATTCTGGATGTTAATTCTGTGCCAGATATATAACAGATGAAGATTTTCTCCCACTCAGTGCATTTTTTTCTTCAATTCCTTAATTGTTTCTTTTGCTGTACAGAAGCTTTTTAGTTTACCGAGGTCCTACTTATTGATTGTTGACCTTAATGCCTGAACAACTGTTATCTGATTTAGAAAGTCCTTTCCTACGCCTCTGACTTGTAGAGTACTCCCTTTCTTTTCTTCTAGCCTTTTTAAAATTTCTGGTTTTGTATTCAAGTCTTTGATCCATTTGAAGTTGACGTCTGTGCAGGGTGAAAGATAAGGGTCTAGTTTTATTCTTTTACAGGTAGAGATTCAGTTCTGCCAGCACTATTTGTTTAAGCTGCTGTCTTCCATTGTATGTTCTTGACACCTTTGTCAAATAGCAAATGGCTGAAATTGCATGCAGCCATATTTGGATCTTTTATGTTCTACATGTCTGTTTTTGTGTCAGTACCATGCTGTTTTTATGACTATAGCTTGGCATATAGTTTGAGATTTAGTATAGTGATTCCCCCCCAACATTGCTCTTTTTACTCGATTGCTTTAGCTGTCCAGGGATTTTTATGATTCCATATGAATTTTAGGATTTTTTTTTTTTTTTTTTAGCTCTGTGAAGTATGTCATGGGTATTTTGATTGGCATTCTATTGACTCTATAGAGTGCAGGATGGTCATTTTCATAATTTTAATTCACCAGTCCATGAGCACAAGAGGTCTTTCCTTTCTTGGTGTTTTCTTCAATCTTTTTCTTCAAAGATTTAAAATTTTCATTGTAGAGATCTTTAATGTCTTTGGTTAGGTTTATTTGTGGTAGTTTTTGTTGTGGTTTTTTGTTTGTTTATTTGTTTTTTGAGGCTATTGTGAATGGGAGGGTTTCCATTTTTCCATGAAGTCATCCTCCAATTGCTTATTTTTATTTAGAAAGGCTACTGGTTTTTATAATTTGATTTTGTAACCTGACACTTTGCTGAAAGTATTGATCATTTCTAGCAGTTTTTCTGGTGGAATTTTTAGGATCTCTTATGTATAATATCATACCATCTGCAAATAGTGATAATTTGGCCTCTTCTTTTCCAATTAGAATTCTTTAATTTCCTTCTCTTGTCTTATTGCTCTGGGAAGCATGTCAAGCACTATATTGAAAAGGAGTGGAGATAGTGGACAGCCCAGTCTGGTTCCTAATTTTAATGGGAATGCTTCCAGTTTTTCAACATTTAGAATGATATCAACAGTGGGTTTGTTGTATATAGCTTTAATTATGTTTAATTATGTTCCCTCCAGACCAATTCCTTCTAGGACTTCTAACGTGACTACATGTTGGATTTTGTCAAAGACCTTTTCTGCATCTATTGAAATGACTTTGTGATCTTTGTCTTTAAGTCCATTTATAAAATTAATAAAATTTTGGACTTACATATGTTCAACCATCCATGCATCTCTGGAATAGAGCTAACTTGATCATGGTGAATGACCTTTCTAATGTGTGTCTGCATGTGGTTTGGAGTATTTTGAGTATTTTGTTGCATCTATGTTCTTTAAGGATATGGGCCTGTATATAGGTTTTTTTTGTTTTTTTTTTTTTTTTTCTTGTGTCTGTACCTGGTTTTGGTATTGGAGTAACATTGGTGTCATAAAGGGAGATCAGGCATTCTTTCTCTAGTTCTATCTTTTCAAATAATTTAAGAAGTAATGGTTGTAGATCTTTTTTGAATGTCTGGTACTATTCTGCTGTGAATTCTGGCCTGGGGTTTTTTTAGTTGGAAGTTTTTGTATTGCTGTTACAATTTCCTTTTTCTAGTTCTCCTCTTGGTTTAATTTTATTGGTTTCCATGTTCCATGAATTTGGAAATTTATTCATTTATTTTACATTTTCCAAATTAATAGTTGATAGGTTTTTTTTTTTTTTATGTATGAGTGTATTGCCTGCATATAGGTAAGTGCACCCGTGTCCTGCAATGCCTGCGGAGGTCAGAAGAGGCTGTTGGATCCCCTGGGACTGGAGTTACAGACAGTTATTATCTGCCATGTGGGTGTTGGGATTCGAACCGGGGTCTTCTGCAAGAACAACCAGTGTTCTTAACTGCTGAGCCATCTCTCC